GTATAACTCGGTCAATTTTACAGCTATTGAGCTAAACTTTAATGAGGGGGTAGCTGAGAGTCGTCACAAAACATAATCTGAGCATGCATCTTATGATATTGCATGAGAATTTACATAAAGTTATTTTTAAAATGCTAAACATGGTCATTTCTCAACATCAGATGATTTGATGTGATATGCATTCCTTTAGTAATGCTAGTAATGTTAGCCAATCATATAATTCATACTGATTAATAGTTTTATTATATGAGAGTGAAAAGATCACTTTCAAACTCATGTTGTCTTTCAACAGTTTAATTTTGAGCACACGCAACTGCTTCAAGTACTAAATGCAAATTAAATTATTTTAAACTGGGTGTATAAGTCTGTGCACATTTCTCTCTTTTTTAAATTTTGTTTTATTTATGTTTTTGCATTGAGCCCAGTTTCACAATTGAATGTTATTCTTTGTTTCAGAAAAAGGCTCAGCTGCAACAGCAGAGATGTTTCAACCTTTGTACCTAAAAATAAATAAGAAAAACCAATTGAACAAGAACCAGCATGTTGTATTTTCATTATCTGCTGAAACACATTTGTGTCACTTCAGAGCTCCAGCACCAGTGGATGAAATCCAGTGACCTCAGGATTGACAGCACTTCTCCTGAACTTTGACTCTGTTGATAAAAACATTAGGAAAGTGTGACTGTAATAATCTCCCTGAAACTGGATAAACCCGGCGCTGACAGAGCTGCACACACCCCGTTCTGCTGAAGGTCATCGATCCCCATATCTTTGTGTGTGAGCATGCGCATGTGTGGAGTTTTGTGAGGTGGAGTGTGTTTCTGTAAAGCAAACACGAAGGGGGAAAATGAAGACCGTGGCAAGAAAGGAAGGTGTTAATGATTATTTTGGACAGATTCAACGACCTAAATGCAGCAAAACGCAAAATGTCCTAGTTCTCTTTGCACCTCTGAATATGTGCAATATTAGAGCAAATTTGTAAATCTCTTTTAATCCACATCAGAAAGAAGCACCTGCAGATAGGTGGTGCAAAAATCACAAGTGTTTACTATGTTGCATTAAAATACAAACCAAAGAAGTAAAAGGCATTCTTGCGCCATTAGGCCTTTGCAGAGCAGTTCAACAGAAGTTTGTAACAGTAAGTGAGACTTCTCAAGAAATAAAAAATAATAAAAGCTGCATAAACCACCATCAGGTTTATTGGGGGGATAAATATTTTCTGATCTGTTATGTGGAACTTGGACTTCCTTTTATGTCTTGCATCATGGATAGGCAGAGAATAGATCTGGAAGTAATCAATGCTCCAAACAGGCAGATGTTTATAGTTGTTTTTTTTTTTTTTTTCATTATACTGTGGCTCAGATTGTGTTACGCAATGTCCAAACAGACATGTAGCAGTTTAGCAAGAATTTGGCAGCAAAATGAAATCCTCCCATTGTGGTCATTGTGGTGTTAGGATATAAAACTGTCGTGGAACAATTCTTGGTACTCAAGACAAACAGACGGCTTCACTGTGACATAGTGATTGTGCTGCAACTGACCCAGGGAGAAGATGGCACTTACGAGGAAGGTAATGAAGCTGTGTGGGGGTTTTTTGTGCTGTTTTTGTGCATGCGTGTCCAAAAACTTGAGGACACAGTTGTCCCATCAGCCACTGGTGAGGATGATGCCAGTGAAGATACCATGCTATTACGTTCAACAGTCAGACTGAAGCAGTCACTGCAGGACAGTCCCAGACTAAAAACTGCTTTTATCTTCCCACCTTTGTACTGGAGCATCAGTTTATTTCACATAAACACACAGAAATTGGTTCCGGAGCCCATTCTGTGCGTCAAGGTGAGCCAAACTATATCTAGTAGGTACCTCTCAACCTCATGCACAAGCTCAGGCTCCTTACCTGCCAGAGAGTTTATGTTCCATGTCCCAAGAGCCTTTGGCCACTGCCCATGACGTTATGCACCTCTCATATGGCCCCTCCTGCAGGTGGTGAGCCCAAAGGAAGGCAAACCCATGTTACTCATTCAGCTGAACCCGACCGGGCCCCATGGATAACCAGGTGCTCACCGATTTGCCCCTCTCCCAGGCCTGGCTCCAGGGTGGGGCCCCAGTAACCCACGTCACTAAGCACCTTGCTGATTTCTGTCCATTAGAGTTTTGAGAAATGCTCTTTGTCTGGCCTGTCACCTAGCACCAGTCTGCATTGGGAGACCCTACAATAACTTCTAGGATCATTCAGGCACACAAACTCCTCCCCCATGATAAAGTGGTGATTCAAGGAGGAGCTTCTATGATTTTGACTAAGTTCAAATGTATTTATTATCATACATTTGTTTTTAGAGCACATGCTGAGTGTATCGGTGGTTCTTTCGGCTCACAGGGAACCCTAGAACATCTCAGCACTGGGGAGGTTGTAATTTTAGATGGAGGGTTTGTTTTTGTTCTGGAGAAGAGGAGATATGTGAAGGCTGGCCCATGGACTCTTGAGGCTACTGTCACTCATCCCGAAGCTGGTACGATATCATCATACCGAACTGTGCAAAAGTTTTGTACCAGCACTAATTTCATAATGCCTTGCTTTGACAGGATTGGATTTTGTTGTCATCTTTAAAAGTGGTTAAAATAAAACTACAGCGAATGAAAAGCATCTGAAAGGAAAGGAATCCACTGGAAGCCGGACACAGGGCGTAAGACACATTATCTACTGTTTGTCTCATTTTACAGCTCTTTGGGAATCACCTTGCTGGTGCTAAAACACTACCTAATGCATCAATGTTATCTTTGTTTTGTTTTTGTTCAAATAAAAAAAACTTAAATAAATTGTGGCATTAAGACAGGCTGCTGATAAGGAAGTGCCCCAAAATTTTGTTCTTTACTTTGCTGTCTGTTACCTGTTGACAAACCACTGGTTCATTTTTTGACTTTAGGAGTCTGTTTTAGTCTGAATGATCATTAAGTGACTTAATCAAAGAAAAATATAAACATTGCTTTGAAAGGGTTTATGTGCTGCACAAAAATTAATTAAAAATATACAACTAAAGATCAAAGAAAAGCTTTGAAAGACCTAAAAAAAAAAACCTAGAAAATATTAGTCAAGGCCACTTGAAGTCCTGAAAAAATATGAAAAAACAAGACTTTTTGTACAGTACTGTATATGAACTTAAGCCACTTTCAATCTTAGTCATCAGTCAAAGCGACAGCTGCACAGAGAGTTTCTGAGGGTGGGAGCGAATGTCATGCAGACATTTACGTTCTATGCCAGCGATGACAAACTGGAGAACAGATGTCAAACACTGAAATAAAATAATAATCCTTAAGACTTATCTTTAAACATTAATGGTGTTTATCTTCTGCATTGTTCTTTCAGGGAACACAAATCAATGAGGCCACATGTGACCTGGCAAGGGAAGTAGCCAATGAGGGAGATGCTCTGGTTGCTGGTGGAGAGTCTCAAACTCCTTCCTACCTGAGCTGCAAGAGTGAGACAGAAGTAAAAGCAGTACTTTCAGTACTTTGAGCATGTTGACGAGGCAGAGTGGGCCGTGAAGGTGCTGAAGGCCAGTGGGAAGCCTGTGGCTGCATCTCTATACATTGGACCTGAGGGAGACATGCACGGTGTCTCACCTGGAGAATGTGCTGCCAGGCTGGTGAAGGCTGGTACACGTTATTATCATAGCCCTTAGCATTAAGATTACGAAACAGTCACGATTTCACTGTCGCCTGCAGGTGCCCAGATTATGGGAGTCAACTGCCACTTTGAACCTCTGACCTGTGTGAAGACGGTGAAGATGATGAAGGAAGCAGTGGACAAGGCCGGGCTGGAGGCTCACTACATGGTTCAGCCACTGGCATACCACACTCTTGCCTGCATTTGTCAGGGATTCATCGATCTGCCAGAATTCACCTTTTGTCATTTTTTGTGTGCAATTAAAAAAAAGAAAAGAAAATGAACTAGAAGCTGTTTTCTAAATAGATTTCACAATTTGTTTCCTTTGTTCTTTCTGCTTTCAGCTCTGGAGCCCAGGATCCTGATACGCTGGGACATGCACAAGTACACCAGAGAGGCATACAATGCCGATATTCACTACATTGGTGGCTGCTGTGGGATTGAACCATATCACATCAGGGCTGTGGCAGAAGAACTTGCCCCTTAGAGAGCAATAATGCCTCCTGGATCAGAGAAACATGGAATGTGGGGAGTAGATCTGGAAATGCACACCAAACCGTGGGTCAGCTCCAGGTAACGTCTGCTACCATCTTGGACATGCACATGATTTTAGAATCAATATGGTTCATCTTTTTTATTGTTGATCTCCTTCAGAGCCCGCCGTGAGTACTGGGAGAGCATTAAACCAGCATCTGGTCATGCTCTGTGCCCATCCTGATCTACATCAGAGGGATGGGGTCTCACCAGGGGCCACGCTGACCTGCTGCAGCACAAAGAGGCAACCAGTGCCCAATAGATAAAGCATGTGCTGGAAATGCAGAAGAAGACCAAATCCTTTGCATGAACAAGACATGATGGAAAAAATACAATGAACTTGTCCCCTTCAGGCTGTCAGCAATTTTGAGATGTGAAAAAATGTGTTTTCCCCAATTCACTTCAAAGATAGGAAGCACTTGTGACAACAATGTTCCATCTGTGGAATGGTGCACGTCAATGCCAAGTCAATAAGCCTGAATTTTTAACTCTGTTTTACAGCGATGTGTTAAAGTTAAATGATTGTTACTGGAATACTGCAAAAAAAACACAAATCTGTTAAAATTGGACACATTACTGTTTTAGAAATCCTGCCTGCTACTCACAAACATCTGGTGGCTGATAAAACACCCAGAACTGTAAAAAAAATTCCAGACCAAACTAGAAGCACACGCTCTCAATGCTGTCATTCAGGTCCAGAGAGAAGGAAAGGGAGTAAACACTGTCGTTATATAACTTACTTCTTACCAATCAGAGCAGCTCCCACTAAGACCCCTCCCCTGCTTCGGGAAGATTTAATGTGACCCCTCTGCTTCGCTCTAATATCACTTCAGCTTCTCGAAGCTTGAGCTGTCAGGGGTCCACACAGTCCCAGGGTAATGGCACCAACAGAGAAGGTACGTGTGACTGTTCAGCAGGCTCATCCTGGAGAATATTCAAACAGGAAACTACAGCTGCTAGATCTGTGCAACATTTACAGTAAATCTCTCTCTAAGGATTGTTACAATGATGACTGATCTCAGTTATGTGGAACTGATACATTGGTTACAGAAGTTTCTATTTTTCCAGCTTACTGCACTAGGACATGTACATTATGGGGTGTTGCAGGGCATATATTTAATGTAAGGTTGGATTTCATGAAGGGAGGTGTATTCTGGGCAAAGGATTTTTGCAATCGTGATGCATGTTCTGCGTGACTGGCATGTCAGGCCACATTTCCCTGAGCAGCTCATATTCCAGCTGTTCCTTTGGGCTTACAGTAAGAGCTCCCAGAACTGCCATGCTGCACTTGGTCTCATATAAAGAAAAGTTTCAAATGTTCATTTGCTAAAGTAGTTCAAAGTCCAATTTTATACATTCATGCATTGTTTGAGAACTAAGGAAAATTTGACGTTAATGAGAAACATGAGTCATGACCCCATCCTTTCCTCCATTAGTGACAAGAAAGAAGAATTACTGTTCGTTGCAGTTCTGAGAACTGAACTTCTGTGCTTTAGAGCTATTAAAAGACCTGTTGAGAGCTTGGGATGCGATGAGATAAAGATCATCTAACATTTCGACTGTAAGAACAAGTCGTCCAGTGGTTATACTCTCCTCCAGTGAATTTATGTTGAATTTTTAAATTGTTATTAACTTAGCTGTTTACTCTTGTAAACAGATGTGGATGCAGATCCTGTCTGCAGTCTCTTAGCTGTGAAAAACATAAAAAGTCTAAATTTTACCTCTAGATAAGCACGTTGGAGTCAACGAGTGCACGCATATCAGCCGGACAAGCTGCTATTTTATGACTCATTCTCACTGCAATAAGCTGCAAGTATCACAAGATGTGGGAGATTCATTGTGCGAGACATCGTTATCGAGTTGGTATAAACTGAAATCGGACGTTTGTTTTTGTATGTTAACACTTTTCTTTGTCCTTAGAGACTCATCTGTGGCATTTGCAGCTTGACTAGCCTCGTCCTACTCCTTAAAGGTTTTGGAAACTCACAGTGATAAATTCTTTCAGGGTATCTTGGAGCGTCTTAACGCTGGGGAGGTTGTCGTCGGTGATGGAGGCTTTGTGTTTGCGCTGGAGAAGAGAGGCTACGTGAAGGCTGGGCCCTGGACCCCTGAGGCTGCTGCAGAGCACCCAGAAGCCGGTGGGAACACGTTGTTTCACTAACTTTAACGCCTTATTTCAGTCTAAGAAACAATCACGTGTACTTTGAGTTTTTCTCCTAACGTCATTGTGTTTTTAGCTTTTTGTAATATATAGATCTGAGTTACAAAGTTCACATCAGTTCTCTCCCACATGATGCACTTTTTCCACTGCTGATGGCAAAACTCTCCAATAGAAACTGTTGATCTATAAATACTAAAGTGGATTTTCTAGTGTCGTTTAAATCAGTTGCCATCAGTAAAAGTTTTGATGGTGTCTTCTGTTGTCTTGCAGTACGTCAGCTGCACAGGGAGTTCCTGCGGGCTGGAGCCAACGTCATGCAGACCTTTACCTTCTATGCCAGTGATGACAAGCTGGAGAACAGAGGCAACAAGCTCACCTTCACTGTAAGCTAATCAGAACATCACACCACTTCCAAATATTAAAAAAAAAACATATTGCAGGTGGCTGAAGGAAGGTGAAAATGAGTTTATACATGTTTTGTTTTTGTTTCCATCATCAGGGAGCTCAGATCAACGAGGCCGCCTGCGACTTGGCCCGAGAGGTCGCCAATGAGGGCGACGCTCTGGTTGCAGGAGGAGTTTCCCAGACTCCGTCCTACCTGAGCTGCAAGAGTGAGACAGAGGTGAAGGCCATCTTAAAGAAACAACTGGATGTCTTCATCAAGAAGAATGTTGACTTCCTAATTGCTGAGGTACAGACTGAACATTATTAAATTAAATCAGTTCAATTAATTTTGCTTTTAAGTGTGGAGGCGATGTTGGTTCTGACAACTTTGTCTCGTAGTACTTTGAGCATGTTGAAGAGGCTGTGTGGGCCGTGGAGGTGCTGAAGGAGACAGGGAAGCCTGTGGCTGCATCTCTGTGCATTGGACCTGAGGGAGACATGCACGGCATCTCACCTGGAGAGTGTGCTGTCAGGCTGGTGAAGGCTGGTACGTAAAGTAGTTTTTATTGAGTATTTTGTATGTCATCTCACATTTGATAAAAAATATAGTGCAATAAACGTTGTTTCTCTTGTCTGGGTGAGTGGCACTAGGGGTTTAACAGCTTCACTGCCTGTTTGTTGCATATTCTGGTTGTTCTTTCTTTAACGGCAGGAGATTAAACATCTTTCAACTTTAATCATTTTGTTTCAACCCATTTAAAACCCTCAACATGAGTCCTCTGCATCAAATCCACCCATAAATTGAAGTTTTAGAGTTTTAAAACATCCTATATTGCACCAGTCAAAGATTTTGATGCATCCTGTTATTTAAAATGAATAAATTGTGTATCAATAACTCTGGTTCTGGAATAAAAGTTGGATATTAGGCCTCTTTTTTGTTTGTGTTTTGCAAGTTCATGCCTAACAAACAGGTACGTATAATAAAAATTTAAGTGGGATCAGTGAGTTGACAACTGTGCCCAATTGTTCCACTCAAAAATGTGTCCAAGAACTTCTTTAAAAAGTAACAAAGTCCATGCTCAATAAATTCTTTAAAAAGTCTTTAGTTAATCCAAAATGCTGCTGCCAGAGTCTTAACTGGAGTTAGTAGGAGAGATCACATCTCTCCAGTGTTAGCTTCTCTCCGTTGGCTCCCTGTCAAGTCCAGAATTGAATTCAAAATCTTACTTTTAACCTACAAAGCTCTCAACAACCTAGCTCCATCTTATATTCAAGATCTTATTGTTCGATATTTTCCTAACAGAGCACTTCACTCTCAGACTGCAGGCTTACTCGCAGTTCCTAGAGTTTCCAAAAGCAGAATGGGAGAAAGATCTTTGTAATCAGGCTCCTCTCTTGTGGAAACAACTTCCAGTTTCTGCCCATGAGGCTGACACATTGTCCAATTTTAAGACTGTACTTAAGACTTTCATTTTTGATAAATCCTTTAATTAGGGTTGGCTTATTATGCTGCCTCAATCTTAGATTACTAGAGGATTTTTTTTTTTTTTTAAGACGATTACTAGAGGACAAATTGATCTCATTTCCTTAAATGAATTATTAAAATTGAATAGTTTTTATTTGATACTATTTCTATCTTAACATATGATTCTCGACCTGCCATTGTGTATCTGTTCCTCTCAAACTCAGCTGGTTGAAGCAGATGGCCGCTTGTCCTGAGCCTGGTTCTGCTAAAGGTTTCTTCTTCATGAGGGAGTTTTTCCTTTCCACTGTCACCTTCATGCTTGCTCAAGATGAGAGTTATGCGATGGAGTTAAATTTAAAGCAGTCTGCTCCTGAGATAAATAATGTTAAATTATTGTTTTATATATAAATATTTCTGTTCAGTGCCCTGAGATGACTTCTGTTGTGACTCGGCGCTATGTAAATAAACTGAATTGAATTTTCCATTTAAAACTGAAGAAAAACATTTCAAGACTACCTATCTGAATTACGTATCAGTTGTGAACATAACAGGTTATTATGTATATATGTTTTAGGTGCCCAGATTGTGGGAGTCAACTGCCACTTTGATCCCCTGACCTGTGTGAAGACGGTGAAGATGATGAAGGAGGCAGTAGAGAAGGCCGGGCTGAAGGCTCACTACATGGTCCAGCCGCTGGCGTACCACACTCCTGACTGCAACTGCCAGGGATTCATCGATCTGCCAGAATTCCCCTTCGGTAAAAAAAACACATCATGCTGCATTTTGTAGATTCTGCCACTCAATTTCCAAATGTAAAATGACAAACATTTTCTCACTGCCCATGTAGACATCCTCTGCAGGTGCACAACCTTAAATTATCTGATTATAAAGACGCTCATTTATTCCCCACAAATGTGTTTTCATCTTCCTGCCAGGTCTGGAGCCCAGGATCCTGACCCGCTGGGATATGCACAAGTACGCCAGAGAAGCCTACAACGCTGGAATCCGCTACATAGGTGGCTGCTGTGGGTTTGAGCCTTATCACATCAGGGCTGTGGCAGAAGAACTTGCCCATGAGAGAGGAATAACGCCTCCTGGATCAGAGAAACATGGAGAGTGGGGGGCTGGTCTGGAGATGCACACCAAACCCTGGGTCAGAGCCAGGTTAGGAGCAACATTTACCTACTACTCTGAATATCCCTCTATGCTCAGACAAACTTGTCATTTTGGTTCATTTGCACCAGCTAATGTCTTATTATTCTTTTAGAGCACGCCGTGACTACTGGGAGAACCTGAAACCAGCCTCTGGTCGTCCACTGTGTGCCTCTTTGTCTGTCCCTGATAGCTGGGGTGTTACCAAGGGCCATGCCGATCTCCTGCAACAGAAAGAGGCTACAACCAAGGACCAACTCAAAGAGCTGTTTGACAGGTCAAAGACCCATTGAATCCTTCCACTGTGTTCAGACCTGGCAGCAGACACGAGTCAAACAGCTGTACTGTGACGCTTCGGACATACTGGGGTGTACTGGAGCTCTATATAAGGTGTGGTGACTAATATAATGTCAAGCAGCAAATTCTCACTTGACAAAGGACTGTTTTATACATCTGTTAATTGAAAATAAATGAGGCCACACAGTCTTAAGTTAGATTTGGCCCATGTTGAAAAGAGGGACCTGTTTGTTTTCCTTAGCCCTGGACCAGTTTGTTTCATAAGACATCTAATAAAATTGAAATTGGTTACTTGACTGTTGAGATTTCTTGAAATAAAACATAGCATCAACACAATAACAACACAAACAACATGGTGAATATGTATTTACGTCATGGTCAGGTGAAGTAACACATAGAAAAGCAGACAAAAACAAGGAACAACTGAAATCTGCAGTGATGTTTTGTCATTTTGGACGGTCAATGGATACACTGCGTCACATACCAATCAGAAACAGCCATCAACACCGTCTGATCCACAAACAGAACTTCAGCTTAAGGTGGCCACAATTTTATTCTATTTTCTATACTTGTCTTTGTAATTAATTAAATAAATAAATAAATAAATAAATAAATAAATAAATAAATAAATAAATAAATAAATAAATAAATGGAAAGAGTGTTTTGTTAAACTTTGTGCACAGCATTTTGTAACCATAAGTAAGACACTTCTGGGGGGTGGGGGGATTACTGACTCAAAATTTTATAAAATCAGTAATTACATTATTTCCATGTAATATGTTTGTAATCTCTCAATCATATAAGACAAAAAAAAAATCTAAATATTCTGACAGTATTGTTTTTTAAATGAGTAGATTTTGGTCTAGTCTGTATTTAAACTGAACTCAATTTTATGGAATCAGAATGCTAACGTCAGTATTCATTCATTCAACCTTTATTCAGACAGGTAAATCCCATTGAGCCTCAAGGACTCATTTACAAGAGAGACCTGATTTCAACAAAGAATGATAACAATGGACAACAGCGACAACAATAAACAGTTATAAAAAGTCATACAATTTTTTTTAAACAAAATAGGATGGCTATATAAAAAAAAGAAAAGTAAAAAGAAAAGAAAAGTAACAAAAACAGCTAGATTCTAAGGTGAATGTAGAAAACTAAAAACAGGAACATGTCTGCATTGGTCCCTGCCAGAAGTCCAACAGATTCTTAAAGCCACTTAGAGAGGACAAGGTCGAGAGCTTCAGATCTTTTTGTAAGATATTCCAGAAAACAGGAGCGGAGTAGGAGAAGGCCCTTTTGCCTAGTTCAGTTCTCACTGAGGGAACACTGCAGGTAATAATGTCCTGAGAGCGCACGCTGTAACTGCACTCACGCAGAGACATGAAGGAGCAGATGTGTGAAGGCAGCAGACCAAGAAATGATTTAAAGATGAAAATGTACCAGTGAGAGAGTCTGCGTGAAGTTAATGATGTCCAGTTAACCAGTGAATACAGAGTGCAGTGGTGGGTACGATAATCACAGCCAGTTATGAATCTTAGAGCACCATGATAGACAACATCCAACATCTGCAGGGTGTTTGTAGGAGCGTTTCGTGTAAATAATGTCACCGCAATCAATGGAGGGAAGGAAAGTCACAGATACAAGGTGTTTCCTAGCATTCAGGGTTAGACAGGATCTGTTTCTGAAAAAGAAACCCAGTTTAACTTTGTTTCTTTACCAAGTTTTCCACATGGAGCTTAAAAGAGAGATGCGAGTCCATAGATATCATATAATCACTGATTAATCATTGATCATAATCAGTGATTATATGATATCTATGTGCGAGTCGACCAAGATACCCAAATATTTATAGGAATCAACAAACTCAATCGGGACATCATTTGAGGATGAGATCAGAGGAAGAACTGAGACAGAAGAACTGGCCCCTGAGAGAGAAATAACGCCTATATTATATAGTATGTGTTTGTTTCTTTTGATCAAATATTTGTTGCGTTTACTGTTGAATGAATGAACTGTGCAGTAATCTTAAAAAAAAAAAAAAAAGAGGATTCTGAAAATTGTTGTAGTGACACATCATCTTTTATAAAACATCTCAGTTGCCATCCTTGTCCATGATTGGATAATATTTGATCACGTGACTTGAAAAACCTTTTTTTTCTCTCTCTTCTAAAGGCAAAGTGGATATTAATGATGGATTTTTGATATTTTTTCCTCCCACTGTACCGACAGTATATGTTATATATATTTATTCAGTATAATTGGTTTTATTTTTTTCTAAGCCTTGCTGGATTTCAACTGATTTCACCTCTTAGCGTAAGTCTTTCAGTGGTGTCCGAAGGCTGTAGGTTGATGGCTGGTCGATCTGTCTCTGGACATTGACAACATTATCTATCGACTGCTTGGCACAGCTAATCATTACGTTGTCATCGTGATTTGTTCACAAAAGAATCCTAAATTAATAACGCTGTACTCCACTCTCGCACGTATCTCACGCCTGCAACCTTTACAGTGACCTGCATTTTCTGAACCGCTCATTTGTAATCACAAACTTTGCTGTTTTCTGTAACAACAGCACTATCTTGTGGTCTGTTTACGCAGTTACGTGAACCGGAAGTAGAAACTCATTTGAGGTCGTCATGGGGAGCAAAGTCAGCTCCAAAATGGCAGCTCCCGCCGCTAGAGTAATTCAGGTAAAGTCGCTCCTCAATTCTTAATAATTCTTTTGACATTTCGTGTGCTGGTTCCTCAATGACGTTGGAAAGTAGAATGTTACTTTTAAAACGTTTTACTTTAGTTTTAAGAAGCTTACTAACAAATTCGGCGAAGCTTTTTTTTTGCTGATGCTGATTTATCGTGATGTCCTTCGTTAAATCAAAACACCGTCGTTTCTGATCTTTATCCAGTTTGACCAGTTTTTCCTTTACTCGTTAAATAACACTTAATGTGACTAACACTTTAGTTGTGTTGGCACAATTATGTGACATTCTGTCGCATCATTTTGAACATGACTCAACTCTCCTCTACCCACTCAGTCACAGCTGCCCAACCAGTACGTACACTGACCAGTACACTGGCTGGTTATCAAACAATTTAAAGATACGTAATTAATGTTTTGGCAAGGTAAAGTTTCAAGTTACTAAATGTAAATATTTGCTGTAAAATCTCAAACACTGTTGGTATAGATGATACAGTACAAAGTTGCTGTATGGACAAACCCAAAACAGTTTAAATTTCTGTCATTTGCATTAACCAGTCTGTAAATTGGTTAAAAGTAATTAGGGCATGGGGATAGGATGATTAATTTTCCAAAGAAAGCATTAACTGTTTATCTGTAAAAAGAAACAATAAATGTTATCGTTTGGAAAATATTACTGAAAATATTTGGTTAGAGCATTCGTTCTCTAATGCAAGAGTTAGGTGTTGATGCTTGTCAAATACTGTAAAATATATATATTTAAAAAGCCCCAACAGATCTGTAGAACATCAGAAATGTGGTGATAAGTAAGACGGACACCACTCTCAGCTGCAAAACCTGCTTCTATATTTCCCTTGCTCATTTTCAATGTGCTGTTCATGGTCATCAGCACAGAGCAGAGGTGATGAGGGTGAGCTACATGTGATCCCAAATGATCCTGTTTTCTATTATTTGCTGTTGGTTTACACTGATGAGCAGATTCTTTGTCAGAGAGATTTATTTGTCATACACACCACACGTGTTACATGAGGTGGGACGAAACTATATATGTATTTAAACCACCACCTGTAGAAATGAAATGTTCGTGCTGCTGTTGCTCAGTGTATTGTTTTTGTACTATTAGTGCTTAGTGTATTCTTAGTTTAGTGTGTTTCTTAGCTCATATCTTAGATCTTATTACTGTTTTTCTTTTACAATTTATACTTTTGTTAGAAAGTGTAACTGGGATCCTGGTTCATTCTACCACATGTACCACATGTGATGAGAATGACAATAAAGAAACCTTGAAATGGAAGTCGCACCAAAATATTATATATTTGTTATGATGATAGCAAAATCTTATATTTATGTATTTTTGTTTATTTGAATTCGACAGGCTGTGCGGCCACATGCTCCTCTGATCAAGTTCCCCAATAGACAGGAGGTGCCGAAGCCTAATGGTATGTTTCTGTGAACATACATCTTTGTAATTTAATCCCATGCTGATTTTTTTTTTAAAGCAGCTTTAAATAGCATCTATAAATCTAGTTTAAACTGCGTTTTATAAATGTGGGTCAGCGCTGCAATGGTTGTTCATCAACCCCCAGCTACTGTTTGCAACACTTTTTATAAACAGAGAACCAAATTTTTACAATCTGAAAGTAATTTCTTCAAATTTTCTTTTTTTGCTTATTGCTAAAAAAGATTTATCTGATTTACCTAAAACATATTTTAATCATTCCTCTTCTAGCCCAAGAAGTGTTGAAAATGTTAGCAGGTAGTTTTCCACAGCACATCGCCCCCAGCGCTCCATCAGCTCCATCAGCACCGTTAGCGAGACCTCAAGTACCTCTGATTCCTGTCCCGGGCACACCAGACACCCTGGCCTCCATTCAGCAGTTTCCTGCAAGGTACCGCAGGAGACCGTTAACTGTGGATGAAATGGACTACATCCAGGTGAGGAGCACGACCGTTCATGATGTACAGATAAAATAATATTACAGTATTCCCCCGATTATCGCAGGAAATCCGTACCCTGAAGCCCCGCGATAAGTGAAAAACCGCGAAGTAGGAATAGTAGTACAAGTAGTAAGTAGTAGTTTATT